GGTGGGAGAGCATCAGGTGTGCGCAGGGGATGCGCTGTCCGGGTACCGGAGGGAGGCACATCCACGGCTTCCGCATGGGATGCAAAATTTTCCCTCGGGAAATTTGAATCGGGAGGTTTTTTTTGGCAATGTGCCTACTCGTAGAGCTGTCAACACACAAATAACTACGCTGTCTGGATGCATCTGACCTCATTCATTTTATGTATCTGCTCTAAATTATATATAATCACACTGCAAAGCGCCCAGCGGACGGGGGAGCGTTACCAGGGCGGCACAAATTCACCGGGGAGATTTCTCCGGTGTGGATGGGGGTGCTCGCTGCTCCCGTCCCCCCCTTTCCCGGGACGTTCTGGATCAGGGTGCTCGGTGCCGCAGCCAAGCACAGCCTGGCACGGGGCGCTGTGCCAGCAGGGCAGGAGCAGAATGGACAGAATTTGGAGGCTGTTCTGGGATCTGTGCGGAGTTCTCACGTTCAGAGGGGAACGGCTTAGAGAGCTGCAGACCCACACCTCTACTTTTAAGCAACGCTCATCCCAGAGCCCCAGATTCACATTTTACCACATAAGCGAGGCAGGAAGAGTCCATATATGCCTGAACCAGAGAGGAAGACGGTTGTAGCTTAATGCTTCATCTTACCTTCGCCTCTGGGGGAATTTTGACTCGGGGCGTCTCTGCTGGGCTGTCCGCTGATGCTGTTCACTTATCCCTCGCCACGTTGGTGTCCGTGGCTCATACGTGGCCCCATCTCTCTGATCTGGCGCGGTCACGCTCCCCTCTGCTCCTCTCGTGATTCATTTCGGGCCTTGGTTCCTGCAGGGAGAGACGCGGAAGATGTGGTGGTGCCGACGTCGGGGGGCAGGTACGACGTGCACCTGAAGAAGCGGCAGCGCGTGGCCGTGTACTGGGAGGAGGAGGTGTCCGAGGTGCGGCGCTGCACCTGGTTTTACAAGGGGGACAAGGACAACAAGTACATCCCCTACTCAGAGAGCTTCAGCGAGGAGCTGGAGGTAAAGGCGCCCGTCCTGGCAGCACCCGTCCTGACTTTTCCCCGTCAAACACTTGGCCCCGCTGTCCCAAAATCCACACGGGGCAACTGGCACCGCAGCCAGGCCTGAGGACATGAACTCGAAAGAGGCTTTGGAGCGGGGTTTTCGCAGCTGATTACCGTAACTCTAAACACGGCCGCTGCGCCCTCCCTCCTGCCCTCGTCGCCGTCCTCCCGCCGCACATTTTGGGTGCCCTGGGCAGGGCCGTGCGGCTCTGGCTGCGCTTGCGGCGTCGCCGCTGCAGCTTTGCTGTGGTTTCTGGTGACCTCGTGCTGTGACCCCTGCAGTTCAGCTCTCCCTGTGGGTATCATCCTCACTGCGCTGAGCTTCAGCAACGCCAAGGGAGTTGGGAATGCAAGGAGAAATCATCATTGCACTGACCGCTGTGTGGTGTTAGAGACCTCAGCGTCTGTGCTGTTAATGGCTGGAGGCTTTTCTTTGAAAAAGATGTATAAAAAATACACATCTTTACAATAACCTCTATTCTGCTGTACCAAAAAATGCTGGTTTTAATGGGGAAGTCTGCTGCTGTTATTAAAGCTTCTTGGAAATGCTCTCAGGCGATGCCCAGATGACCCCGCTGCTCCTCCAGCTCGGCCTGGCTGATTTCTCTGCCTCTTTCGCAATGTGTATTGATAAGAGATACCATAAAACGGGTTGGAATGTCCCGGTTGGTTCGGTATTGGTGGAAAAGCTCTGTGCTGTTTTCCTCAGGAAGCTTACATGGTGGCTGTGACCCTGGACGAGTGGAAGAAGAAACTGGAGTCCCCGAGCAGGGAGGTCATCATCCTGCACAACCCAAAGGTGAGCGGGGTCTGGTGGTGTTTTGTGACCAGCAAGGGCATCCTCAGCGCTCAGGGCCCGGCTCTGTGTTATGGCTGCTGTCCTTGTGTTATTTCTTCTAACCACGTCTGCTGGTAAATCGGTTTTGCCCATTCCCCTCCCCTGCCTGCGCCAGAGCAGAGCCTGCTTCACCCCTCAGGGTTTCCTTCCAGCGCAGGGCTCGTACCCGGGCTGCTGTACCGCACGTCTGGTCCCAGCCCGCAGCAGTGGTGCTCCTCTGCTGCAGCAGTGGTGCTCGTCCAGCCCTAGTGATGGGCTGCTCCCGTTCACAGCTCATGGTTCACTACCACCCGGTTGCCTCCTCCGACGACTGGGGCTCCACTCCTACGGAGCAAGGGCGGCCCCGGACTGTGAAGAGAGGAGTGGAAAACATCTCTGCCGAGATCCCCAACGGTGAGCTCGCTTCTCCCTTCCTCCCAGCCAGGGCTGCAGGCTCTGCTTTCCAGCCTGGTTACTCAAAAGGACTGACGGAAGCTTCCCTGATCCTGTAAATGAAGTGCACATCTAAGAATTTAGCGCCGAAAGGAACCGAGTGGTTTCAGAAATCCTCCTAGGATTGGAGAAGGTGGCGCTTTTCCAGCTCCTGTGCTCAGACCAGGGCTGTTGAAAGCCCCGCAGTGCCCAAAACTACCCCTGAGGTCTTGGCATGTGTGTTCCTAAAGGAGCAGAGTTTCCTTTTGTGGTAGACGCAGGCGTTTTATCACTTCCCAGTGGCTTCCCAGCAGTTATTCCTGTCCAACCCCTTCATTTCCCATGCCTGCACGCCTTCAGGGCAGCACGTGAGCAAGCCGCGGTGTGTGGGACTTGGGGAACAAGACCCAGCTCCACGTGGTGCCCAGTGGAGACGCAGCGACGTGGGGTCGGGTGGCTCAGCAGGGCGGGCACAGCCTCCTGGTCCTGTCCCATCCTGTGCCCCATGGCCGGGTGGGTGCGAACTGCGGGGACCACGCACCCCTGCTGCAGTGAGGGCGGTGACAGAATTGGGGATGAGCGGCTTTGCTTCTTCCCAGATCCATCCAAGGTGCACAGCCGGATTTAGCAGGACAGTTCAAAACATGAGAAACCCCCTGCACAACACCAGCCCTAACGCAGGGATTTCCTGCCCTGCTGAGGCGGGGATGGGAGGCTCCACTATTGCAGAGCACGGGGTTTTTGGCGGCTCGGTTTCCCGTTAAGCGATGCCTCTGAGCCCTTCTTTCCTCCTCAGGAGAGCCCCTGCAGATCGACCACTTGGTGTTCGTGGTGCACGGCATCGGCCCAGCGTGCGACATCCGGTTCCGGAGCATCGTGCAGTGCGGTAGGTGTGCTGCTGCAGAGCTCCATGTGCACGGGCAGCGCCAAACGCTGTCAGAGCTGCCTCGGGACCATCCCAACACTGGCGCTGGCTGCACGAATGCCAAACGTGCCGACCGCAGCGGGCAGCGTGAATGCAGCAAACCCCACCATCTGCAAAGGTTTGGGCAGCCACTTTTCATCACCCTGCTCCGCTGCTGCTGCTGAGAACAGCGAGTTTCCCAAACTGGATACAGATCTTCCAAGTCACTGTCTGAGCTTGATCAACTGAGTAGTGCCCTGCTCAGGTGTTGGTGTTGGTCAGTGCTGGTGATGGTCAGTGGTGATGGTCAGTGGTGATGGTCAGTGCTGGTGATGGTCAGTGGTGATGGTCAGTGATGGTCAGTGCTGGTGATGGTCAGTGGTGATGGTCAGTGGTGATGGTCAGTGCTGGTGATGGTCAGTGGTGATGGTCGGTGGTGATGGTCAGTGCTGGTGATGGTCAGTGGTGATGGTCAGTGGTGATGGTCAGTGTTGGTCAGTGCTGGTGATGGTCAGTGGTGATGGTCAGTGGTGATGGTCAGTGATGACGGTCAGTGGTGATGGTCAGTGCTGGTGATGGTCAGTGCTGGTGATTAAACTGTTTTTAAGGCTGCTGACCATCTGAAATGAAGGAACTCAGCCTCTCTCCCTCAGAACCGAGTCATTTCAAGTTCATCTCCTCCCTGAGGATTCCCTTTCTAGCACACAACTTTTTGTGTTTCTTCCCAACACGCTTCTTTAAATCCCTAAGAGTGCCTTTTTTATCCCGGCTGCTGTGCTAAAGCCCTGCCCGTGTGGGAAGGAGGTTTGTTACAGACGGGACAGCGAAACGCAGTAAACACACACGTAAGGACATGGAGCCTGATCTTGCAGTTAAAGATCCAAGGCCTTAGGGTAGCGGCAGCCGATTAGAGACCCTGGTGGGATTGCCCCAGTAATGATCTTTTCCTTGATCTCATTAGGAGCCGGTGCTGCAGCCCGGATCCCAGCAAGGATCCCAGCAGGGTTGGTCTCTCTTGCAGTGAACGACTTCAGGAGCGTGTCCCTCAGCATGCTGCAGGCGCACTTCAGGAAGGCCCAGGAGCAGCAGCAGATCGGCCGCGTCGAGTTCCTGCCCGTGAACTGGCACAGCGCGCTGCACTCCACCGGCGTGGACGTGTGAGTGTCCCAGAGCGCCGCTGCCTGCGTGGCGGGGTCTGCGGGGATGGCCGAGCACAGCGACAGCCCCTTGGTGTAACCTCTGCTTTTCCTGGTGGACGCTGCAGGAAAGGGAAAGCCGTGGGTGTTTAGGGCCGTGCAGGGGTGGGCAGGACAGATGGGGTCCTGTTGCAGGGCATTTCCACAGCAGACCCCCTCCCCGCCGTCCTTTTCCACCCCGGTTCTGCAGAGCGCAGCAGCTCCCTGCTCTGATCAGTGCTCGGCTGCATAGGGGAGGCTTCTGCCTTTCCTGGCCAAACCGTGGAGATCCAGATCTGGAGATGCAGGCCTTGCTGCGGCCTCTGGAAGCCGAGTGCCTGCACTCGGGGCTCTGCAGGGCCCCATGGAGGGGATGGAGCGGGTCAGGCTGCTGGGGATCACCCCAGTCCCTATTCCTGCCTGCAGCGTGCTCTGCCTCCAGCCTTGGCACGAGCCGAGGCTCTGGATGACAACGTGATGCCCTTTGAGGCCATGCAAGCCTCCTCTGCCCTTACGCCGTGCTTCAGCAACGCACCGGGGTTCACTGGCACCCCTGAACACGATTCCCTGGCTCCTCTCTCCCCCCACAGCGACCTGGAGCGGATCACTTTGCCCAGCATCAACCGCCTGCGTCACTTCATCAACGACACCATCCTGGACGTCTTCTTTTACAACAGCTCCACCTATTGCCAGACCATCGTGGACACGGTGGCCTCCGAAATGAACCGCCTGTACCAGCTCTTCCTGCGGAGGAACCCGCTCTTCAAAGGGGGGGTCTCCATTGCGGGGCACAGCCTGGGTAAGGGGCTTCACCTGCACCGAGGGAGCAGGGAGGTACCAGAAAAGGAGGTGGTTTGGGGCTTTTCCCCTTGGAGATGCTGATGCGCCTGGTTTCTAGGATCGCTCATTTTGTTTGACCTCCTGACCAACCAGAAAGCGGATCCCGAGGAGGGCGAGCACAGCGGTGAGGTATGCGCTTTTTGGGGTGCCTGCACCCACGGGTCGCTTCTGCCTCAAACTCCTGCTACTGAGGCTGCTTGGGGAGCGACTCCGCAGTGCATGGGGGAAAACAGGTGAGTTCTCAGCAAAATCCACGGTCCCTGGTGGCTCTGTTCACAGGCGGCCAGGGCAACCACAGGCAGCAGGGGCATCGAAGGAGTGAAAGAAATCCTGAAGGAGCTGGAGCTGTGCGAATACTGCGACGTGTTTGAGAAGGAGAAGATGGACAGGCAGGCCCTGGTGAGGAGCTCTCCTGTTCTGCTGCCTCTTGGGTTTCCTCTTTGCTTTTCTTCCCACCCTGTGCACATCATCCTGGTACTGCATCGCTTGTGCATTAAGTGTCTCTGAAAGGGGCAGCAGGAGCAGAATGCAGGGAACAGAAATACCTCAGTTGTGCTAATTAATACCTGGGCTGCTGCTTTTCCAGTTCCTGTGCACAGAGGAAAACCTCAAAGAGATGGGCATTCCCTTAGGACCAAGAATGAAGATTCTTCACTACATCAGCTCCAAGGGGGAGACGCAGGTTGGTTTTTGCACGGCCCGTGTCCGTCCAGCTCAAATCCCACCTCAGACAGGGACCGGCCCCCGAGCTCCCCGACCTCCCT